GTTAGTCTTTTAACCATGTGATAAGTTATAAATGTATATGTACTAACCAACTTTCAATAAATAAATCAATGAATGTGTGTGTGTGTGTATATATATATTATTATTATTATTATTATTAAAATTTGTTAAGGTAAAATTTTCATCTACATTGTACTAATTGTACTATATATATTGTATAGAGTTATACTTATAAACAGATTCCATGTTTGATAATGTATAGAATATGTTGATATTACAATATAAACTTCATAAGGCCTAGGATAAAAAATTGTTTGTGATAACTCATCCAATCCTGGAAAAAAGCCTCAATCCTAAAGAGTTTTACACCTTTACATTCAAAAATATCCAGAGAATGTAACAGTACATTTAAGCATTGTGTGAACAATTTTCATAATGATCCTATCCACAGAATTTAACTTTGACCAGGACTAACTTGAAATTATGTCAGGCCAAAAGTTGACATCATAATGAGTTTTATTTTAATTTTTGAATTGAGAAATGAAGAAAACTTTTAGTGTACATAACGTGATCCACAAGATTTACTCAGGTGTGGATCAAGTTTGCTTTAAGAAGTTAAGCTAACTATAATAAATATTTATAAGTAAATACATCAATAATTATATGTATTTTAAGCACACATTAACAGTATGTACTATATAAAAAATCGATGTTTTAAATACTGACAAGATTTGAGTTCAGATATTCATAACATTACATTTTTAATTCATGTGTATGCTCTAAATAGTTTAAGGTTCATCAATATTAGATATTTGTTTATTCAATGTTAATTTCACTAGAATATTGTTGTGTACAATATAATTACTGATTTTCACTAGAATATTATTGTGTACAATATAATTACTGATTTTCACTAGAATATTATTGTGTACAATATAATGACTGATTTTCACTAGAATATTATTGTGTACAATATAATTACTGATTTTCACTAGAATATTATTGTGTACAATATAATTACTGATTTTCACTAGAATATTATTGTGTACAATATAATGACTGATTTTCACTAGAATATTATTGTGTACAAAATAATGACTGATTTTCACTAGAATATTATTGTGTACAAAATAATGACTGGTTTTCACTAGAATATTATTGTGTACAATATAATGACTGGTTTTCACTAGAATATTATTGTGTACAATATAATGACTGGTTTTCACTAGAATATTATTGTGTACAATATAATGACTGGTTTTCACTAGAATATTATTGTGTACAATATAATGACTGGTTTTCACTAGAATATTATTGTGTATAATATAATGACTGGTTTTCACTAGAATATTATTGTGTACAAAATAATGACTGGTTTTCACTAGAATATTATTGTGTACAAAATAATGACTGGTTTTCACTAAATATTATTGTGTACAATATAATGACTGATTTTCACTAGAATATTATTGTGTACAAAATAATGACTTATTTTATACCCATGATAAATAATCATATTCTTCTCTATATCTAGCGAGTGAACAGATACATGCTATTAGCTTTATTATTCCTTTGCACCATGATGACGCACTTAAAGTTTCTATGTGCTTGATTGGCTAAATGTAGTTGTTTATGTTCTGTTCAGCACCATGTAATTGATCACCTCAATATAATTGTGCTCATATCACACTGTAACTTGATCTCCAGAACTAAATGTATGTAACGTAACTAGTAATTTCACTAGTCAGTGTTGTATTAAATATTTTTTAAACTTATATTTAATGTTGGGTCACTATTCAGTGTCGTATTAAGTATTTTTCTGACTTGACTTTAATGTCGGGTCACTAGTCAGTGTTGTGTTAAGTATTTTTTCTAACTTGCATTTTATGGCAGGTCACTAGTCAATGTTGTATTAAGCTATTAAGTGTTTGTTTTTTTTAATTTATATTTAATGTCAGTAAAAAGTGTTTATTTTCATTAACAAAAATTTGGGGTTGTGGAACTTTGTAGTGAGAAACCCATGGAGCACAATTAGTCATATTTTCAGCTTGTTACAGGTTTTTTAGTACATTGAATAATGATACATTTTCATGTACAAAAATTTATGTTTAAAAAAGTAATTTAATCCTAAATTATTATACCTCAAGATGGGGTTTCTTCTGACTTTATTATACCTCAATACGGGGTTTCTTCTGACTTTATTATACCTCAAGACGGGGTTTCTTCTGACTTTATCATACCTCAAGACGGGGGTTTC